ATGACTTCTGATGCAATGTCTCGAGTCGCTTATACAATCCACGGAATAATGTCGAGGCTCTTAGGTAAGTCACGTACGTTTCGCCGAATTATCAGTGCAGGACGCCGGTTATCGGCGACGTTGATGGCTCCTGACATTGCTACGAATTCGGGTGATATCGTTGGAGTCCTATGTGAACGACATCGCAACAAGTGTCTCCTCGAGACCCGTTCCGTGAAAGAAACGTTATTATTCTCCTTTACTCCCACGTAGCTTCTCCGCGTAGTTTAAATAGCGTTTAAATACGTAAATTTGGACACGCGTCCTCTTATGAACCATGCATCTTGTTTGTATACTCTTCTCCTTGCAGGTGTCCTTCTGCTAGTCGCTGGAGCGAACTGCATGTACGCGTCCAATTCAGCTGTCGTTGATCTTAGGCCAAATAATTTTGATAATTTAGTATTAAATAGTGATCACATCTGGGTGGTTGAATTCTATGCACCATGGTGTGGACACTGTCAACAGTTGACACCGGAGTATGACAAAGCGGCTACTGCATTAAAGGTGACTCATTGTATTTAATTTTTCTACATAAATATATACACACAAAGATATACATGTTAACATATATACGTATATGTATATATCTTTAATTAATATTAAATAAATCAACCAGGAAATATTCAACACAAATGAGCAAAGAAGGCGATATTTAGTCAAAGCAGGTCTTGATGCCTAATAATATTTTGTGTTAATTTTACAGTTCTATTTGAATTAAAAAGAAAAAAATAAAATTTATACAAAAATAATAAGCACCAAGACTTTCTTTAACTGACCAAATATAGCTTTTTTTGCTCATTTGTTACATATATCTTTAACTTGTCGTAACAGGGTGTTGTAAAAGTTGGTGCGGTAAATGCCGATGAACACAAATCCCTAGGAAGTAAATACGGCGTTCGTGGTTTCCCAACAATCAAGATATTTGGACTTGACAAAAAGCCGGAAGACTACAACGGTCCGAGAAGTGCAGCTGGCATTGTTGACGCTGCATTAAATGCTGCCAGTCAAAAAGTTCGAAGAGCATTAGGTGGTAAAACTTCGGGAGGTGAATCCAAGGTAAATTACAATTCGAATATGACTAGTTCTGGATTTTTACGCAGAGTATTGAAATAGAGCGCATGACTTTGTACGTAAGTAGAAAAGTTAATTTTCTGAATTTCCTGGCATGCAAATTATTAAATAGTATTTATTTGACTATTTACAGAGCAAAGATTCCAAGGATGTGATAGAATTGACAGACGAGAACTTCGACAAGACTGTTTTGAACTCCGAAGATATGTGGCTAGTCGAATTCTACGCTCCTTGGTGCGGTCATTGCAAGAATCTAGCGCCCGAGTGGGCGACAGCGGCTACCGAATTAAAGGGCAAAGTCAAACTGGGGGCTCTGGATGCTACTGTAAACACATTGAAAGTGAGATACATGCTTTACTAATATTTTCTTGTAATGCGATAGATGTGGTACACTTGGTCTAACGCACGTAATATTGCAGGCAAGTAAATACGAGATCAAAGGCTATCCCACCATTAAATTCTTCGCACCGGGCAAGAAGGATGCCGACTCGATGCAAGACTATGACGGCGGTCGCACAAGCGGTGATATCGTTAACTGGGCGCTCGAGAAATTAGCCGAGAATATCCCGGCGCCGGAAGTGGTGCAAATCACTTCCGAGAAGAAGCTGAGAGCGGCGTGCGAAGACAAGCCGATCTGTGTGGTTTCCGTTCTGCCACACATTCTGGACTGTCAGTCCGATTGTAGGAATGGATACTTGAAAACTCTAAGTACTCTCGGCGAAAAATATAAGAAGAAGATGTGGGGGTATGCATTAAATTTACGTATATGTTACTTTTAAAATGATTCGTAATTATTCCTTTTTTCATCCTTTATGTTCGATTCACAACCTTTAAGAGGCCATAAGCCGTAAGCCTTAAGAAATTGACTAATCACAGTTGAATATGAGAAAAATAATTGACTATGATTGTGTGTGTGTGTGTGGTCAATTTCTTACAGCTTACGACTTACGGCCTCTTAAAGCAAGGTTGTGGACCGAGCATGATTCTGAAACCAATCCGGTATTTTTTATTTTTCGATTCTTATTGCAAAATTTATTTTACGTAAATTATAACTAGATAAGAAAGCATGTCGGTCAAACGATAGGATATTGATGAACTGATCTTTCATAATTTAATTTTTCTAAGAAGTTATAATCAAATTTTTTCGTATCGCATAAATTACGTCCAATGTTAACTATTTTCACAAAATATTTTACTTTTAGTACAAATAAAGTGTCTATGTAAGTCTCAGCGGTTATTAGTTTGTAAATTATATATTCATAAAGCGATAAGATATAATTCGCAAACAATTAGTACTTATTAAATAAAGATAATTACAGACATTTTTACTCTGGATTTGAATCCTTCAAAATTCTGTAATTGGTGAGGTACAACTGGTTTGCGAATTATATCTTATCGTCTTACACTATATAATTTTCGTACAAACAATCATGGAAGCTCACATAAACATTTTTTTTTTTTTTTTAAATACTGGATTTAATCTTAGAGTCATAAATACTATTAATTTAATTTATTTTAATTATTTTACTTTTTGTACAGATGGGTCTGGGCTGAAGCTGGTGCTCAACCACACATTGAAGATGCATTAGAGATTGGAGGTTTTGGCTATCCTGCGTTAGCAGCTGTTAACATAAAAAAAATGAAATATTCTTTGTTAAAAGGTAGTTTCTCATATGATGGAATAAACGAGTTCCTACGAGATCTAAGTTACGGCAGAGGTGGCACTGCGCCCTTGAAAGGTGCTCAATTGCCTGTCATCATCGAAGCAACGCCTTGGGATGGTAAGGACGCTGAACCTCCACAAGAAGAGGAGATCGATCTCAGCGATGTTAATCTAGATGATAAAGACGAGCTATAACTTATTGAAAGAAAATCCAGCTGAATTCTTCTTAGAAGAATATACCGCACACGACGTATATCGTTTTTAATAAAAAAAAAACTAATTAAGGGCGTTAATCGCGAATCGGTATACAAGTCACACTCGCCCAAAAATTTATTTTGTATTGTCAGACTTAACATCTATACATATATATACTTAATAAGAATCTACATCAATTAATTTCGTAATGAAATTAATAGTAATATAATTCCATTAATCAATGGTTTTTGTATAATAATATCATTATATATATATCATCATTTGTCGCTCTGTGTATCCTAAGGAAGACCAGTTCTCAGGTGCAGTTGTCTAGTTTTATAAAAAAAAAACGCGTTTAAGTAACTCTTCCATCCGAAAGCCAATTTTATACGGTTTTTTGTGTTGCATTTAGGAGAAGCAAACTAGTTTAGATCCTCGTCATAAAACATGCGCATGTAATTCATATTGTTTGCATCGTTCTCCATTTGTTTTGATAGGAAAAAGGTAGAACAGTTTGAAATACGCGCTCCGTGTATCATGATGCATTTATTAGCCTGCTTACTTTTGTAAAAGTGGGTTGTTTAAGATACACATAGTTTATGTAAAAAAAGTCCTATTTGTAATAAATATATATCATACAATTACAAGAGTATGTTATTTCTACAGAGGTTATTTTTATGAGTAGTACATTTTGTAAACTTTATACATATTGATAGCACAAGAAAAAACTTTTCAGTAAAGCTATTAATTGCTTTTTCCCTATAACGGGATCGAATTTTGAGATTATAAAAATCAGTCTGTTGTGATCCGTTAATATAAACATAGTGTTAAGTAGAGACTTATTTTTTCTCTTATGTTAACAATTTTGCAGCCTATTACGTTTGACCTTAATCCTTTACCTACCCTAATTTCAATTAGCATAACTCTGCCGTTGTTTCAGCTTAGAGTAACAGCTTAAAAACATTTTTAAGACGTTTAAGTTGCTTGTAACAAAAATGGAATCGCATAATGATATACTGTCTTTTGTTACTATTGTGAATGAAACTCTGCGAATGCTACTTCAAAGAAAAGCTTACTGAAGCTTTCCATATGTTATAGTATTGTTGTCGAATTTCACATGAAAAAAAGACGACAAAAAAAGGTTGTTAAAACTTTCCATACGTTTTCGTAGCATTATTGCATGATCAACCAAGTTTCACACAAAAAAGATGACATATCAATGTTATTAAATTATATTCTTAATCAAATTCTAATTTGGTTAAGAACATTTATGTATTAACATTTCCAGTTGATACTGGACATGCCAATTAAAGTTGGAAAAAGATCAAGAGTCGCTAATATGAAAAAAGTCAATCTCATTATTTAATAGGTACACTATGTTACATTAATATCGTCTAATAAAAACGTATATACTTTCTTGCAGTCTTTTAGAGTCTTCCATCACAAGTAAAATGCTGTATGTTATATACTATTTAATCTACTTATATAAACTAACGATTATATTGAAAAAATTTCTAAATTTTTAGTTAAAAATTTTTAGATACTTAACATCTCTTCATTTTTAACATGTCACAAGATAACTTTTAATTTACTTATTTAGTTCAGTCTTTTTTCATATAACTGTATATAAATGCAATAAAAATAAAATTATTTCCATATCGATTGCTGTAAATGCTTATAAAATTTATAAAAATTCATTCCATTATTGTATATGAAAGATAGTATGAAAACAATGATCTCAATCTTAATATTTTTCTACTCTAAAAGATTTTATGGCAGTGTTAAGTTATATAAGACTTAATTGCTATTAAACTTGTACAAAAATACTATTACTCTGAGTGAAGATGTAACTGTACTTATAAAATAAATGTCTGTGGCCAGTATTCATAATCCATCCTTTCTTTTTCAAGATTGTCTTAAGTATTATCTTAAGACCCTATGGTCCTCTGATTGGTCCATCTTGACATCTTAAGACTATACTTAAGACAGTCTTAAATATAAGAATCAACTATGAATACCGACCTGAGTTACGTTTTCTTTTCAGGCTTATCGTTTTAATGGTGCGTCATTTGATACGTCATTTGATACATCATTTGAGTCGCAAAATGCTCTCAATGGACGTGGTACATTGTTAACATTAACATTGTCACTAACAGTGGACACAGAGTTAACATCCGTTAATTCTATGATGTCATAGCTCGCGTCCTTTTTGCATATATATGGGTATAGTAGAAAGATGTAGTAAGTTATTGTACTAAATATGATAGCGCCTACAATTAGTCCGATGATTCCCCAGGCTGATACAATTATTTTCCGACCTGGAAGCGGTTGTGACTGATTCTTGGACGCTGCTGATTCTGTAAATTTCTGATTCGTTTTGTTATACTTAGCATTCTGCTTGGAACCGTATAATCCACTTTCAACTTCATGGAGTATCACTGTAAATAATTGTATCGTCAAATATCAGGAACGATAATGCAGCAGAGAGATACATTTAAGTTTTAATTGTAAGAACAAGAGTAATGAATACTGATAATGCGGTTGCGATAAAGAGCGGAGCAAGCTTCAAATTTTTGAGAAGTTTATCTGGGACCAAACTTAACTTACCGAGAACGGAGATAATGGCTAAAAGATATATTGTCCTCATAATATCTGCGGGTAATCAGTCTTTCAGTTGATCTGTGTTAAAGGTGCAGATAAAGAGTCACTTGGACTTTATTAATAGGCGCGGATAAGGACAATTATTCACGTTGTTAAAAATGTCCGATGATGTTTGACTCGACGTGATTTATGAAAATAAAAGTCAGAAAGTCACCCTTTATCTGTGTACACCTGAAACATTTCTATGTACAATTGCGTGAGTGTAGTTGTAAGTGGTTGTAGTTCTAAAAATTCGCCAATCACTGCCGAATATGAGAAGAATATTCGACTGTGATTGGTTAATTCTTACAACCGTAATCACGTACCAATTGTAGAGAACTAACAACCGTAATCACGTACCAATTGTAGAGAACGAGCTTAAAGGCGCATTCACATAGGCCGGTATTCATAGCAGAGAGAAACCTGAAAGTGGACATCCCGGCCTTTTTCATGTATCAAACCTCATAGGGTAATGTCCACGTTTTTGTGGTTCTTTTCCGTACTATTACGTGGATTAGACAAAGACTAGAGGTTGAGATTGGATTGAAATTTAACCAATCAAGAAAACCAATCTCAAATTTAGTGAACTTTGCTTTGATTCGTTAAAGAGAGACCTGTAAAAGTAGCTAGCAGCATGAAAAGGCACCTTTATTTCTAGGGATTTTCTACTCGTCACGTGCGATAGAAAACAAACAACAAATAACTGTAGACATGGCGGCGATGATGCGTATCCTTCCACTTTTCAATCGCAGCCCTCTGCTGTGCACTACAAATTTATTGGGATACGGCGTAAGTATGTGTTTAAACGATAGATTTTTTATATGACCTCTAATTATATATCTATATAAATTTATTAGGATTTATGTCGCTACAATTATTGAGATAAACAACTGCTCAAGTCACTGGCTATTGTATTTGCAATCAATTAACATGACCGTTTTCGTGTCTAATTATGTCGTGTTTTCTCTGTGCAGCTACAAGAAATACGAAACTATGTCGGCTGTAGGGTGTTGCGCGATCAAAAACGTAGAAAATGGGCTAAAGAGTATGCAGAGGAAAGATTGCGATTGGTTGCCTTGAAGCGCAACGATATTTTGCCAATCGAGATAAAAGTAAGACAATTTCACTTGTAAAATAATAAATCTTGGTCTAATTACACACATTCAGGGAATATAAAATTGATGTAAAAATTTTCTTGTATCATATTGTCATCGATGCATTTTTTATATATAATGTATCTATTTATATAATTTTCTGCTATTTGAAGGAAGCATATTATCTTTTTCATAAAGAAAACTTCGAAAACCACGTTTTTTTAGTTATGTCATTTTTCAAGTAAGAGAGCAATGCTCTCTTTTAGTATAATGATATTTAGTATATAATATTTAGTATAATAATATTTAATATGCTAATGTAGTAATATGAGGTAACTCAAACCATATAATGATTCTTTTAGGAGCTTGCTGGCAAACAAATAGACGAAACAATTCCCAGACAGACTGCTTTGAGACAATTGACACCGAGATGTATTGTGACGTCTCGAGGCCGAGGTACGATACAACGATGGAGAATATCACGATTCATCTTTCGTCATCTAGTCGATTATAATAAAATGGCTGGAGTGCAACGTGCCATGTGGTAGAATAATACCCTTGAGCTATATATCACTTGTCTATTGTGTATAAATGAATACTAATTAGGTGTAAATGAATACTAATGAAGAGTAAATGATACACAAATGGATGTATGAATAGAATTAAATAAATTACGAATGGATATGAATAGAATTTAAATTACCAAATAAATTATGTTTCCCTTGATTTCATTAATATTGAGGTTTCTGTTTCATTTCTATCAAGTTATTCTACTAAGTCAGAAACAAGTTATGAAATTTTTTCCATATACAATATATGTCAAATTAATTTTTCTTATATTTTGTACATTTGTATTAATTGGTAAGATGTATGATGTCGAGAATTTTTTTTTGTTTCATACATTATTATGTGTATAGAGTTGAAAATCTCAATTATTTATTTTATTTTTGACACTGAAACAGGACAATAAATTGTGCATGTATTCAAAAAAGATTAAGAACAACACACTGTGTGTGTGTATATATTAGAGATTTTGTCTTATTTGATTCTACCATCTAAAAGTACGAACAACTAGTTTCTGTAGAATTTTAATTAAATAATTCTAATTTTAAAAAAGTGTTAAGTTGTAAAAACTTCAAATTATTGTAAGTCCAAGTAAACGTACAAGTTCAAGTAAAAATGCCAATTGTACAATAGACATACATATAACATTTTGAATTGCATTTTTTTCCGTTTGTTGCAATTTTCTACGTCAAATATTAATATATGATGGAATATTTATATGATAGAGTACTTACAACACCTTCATACAATAAAACGCATTTTCACAATTTTGGCACTTTATACAATGTTTCATGGCACACCTTAATTAATTTGATCAGGCGATGAATTAATTGCAGCTAAAGAAAACTTAACGTACTCTTAATTGTCAAGCGCATATTAAATAATATGAAAAGGTTTATTAACTGTTGATCGTACAGCTTGCACGAAAATCGACATTTATACGAACTGAGAATATCACGAATATACTTTTCTATTCAGTGAATGATGCATATGGCGTCTCAATTATTCGGCATTATAACGATCATATGTATGTTTTTTCGTGAAGAAATCGATTCGCGAACATGCCACGTGTAAATAGTTCTCACTCTGTTTTTCTTTGTTACTCATACCTCATTTATTAGTATATTCCTCATAACTGTTTACTGGGACAAGCTGCATCTCTGAATATTTTATTCAGACTAACGCTTCTAACTCGCTTTTGCATGATCACTTATCTCGTTTCATCGCGAAATGCGAATACAACTAATACAAATACATACTTATCAAAAGATTGTAAAATGCTGCAGATTAGGCAGATCTAAAATAACGATTGTAACACGAGGTACATTGACACGAAGAATATTGATCGGGGTCTCATTATAAAGCCATTAATTAAATTATCGTGTTAAAATTTACATAAATAAATCTATTTACACAGACATTTTGACTATAATGAGCATATCGCCATCATCAAACTCCTGACAGAGGACATAAAACATTTTATACAATAATAAACACAATAAACAGATAACAATAAATATATTCATTTATTCTATTTATATTTAATCAGCTTCACCTGGGTTATTTAAAAGAATTTTTAATTTTTATAAATAAAGAGTCGAAATTTAAATATACTCTCATTTTATAATATTCCATTTTGGTAACAGAATTACACATTAATTAATAATAATTAACTTTGAAATTTAATTTGCATGGTGTAGTGAAATCATGCAAAGATAAATAATCAAAACAAATAGTAGCTTGTGATTTAAGTCGCAAAAAAAGTAAAGTAAACAATCAATACGATCGGTATCGTACACGTGCATTTCATTCTCAGCAAAGTGTCACTTAAACTCCGCATAAGTGGTATAGCCGACTATCTGATCGGACATGCATCGCGCAATTCCGCATGTAATCTTGCTTCAAGCCGATTTTTGCTCGCTAGTGCATATTAGAGACATTCGAGTGACAGATTCAGATGCGACCATCACGAAAACTCATCTATTTCATATCCACATTTGCATCTTTCTCTGGATGGCATACATGCATGGTAACGAGAATTACGAAGAACAAGATTTTATGTAGGTACAATACAATTTCTGTTTCTGATTTCTAACGCGCAAAAGTTTCATTTCCGGATAGCTTCAAATTAAAAAATAATTAAAGAGATAATAATTAACTTATAATCAAAGATTTAAAAAAAAATAAAATTATTTCTCTGCTTTTTTTATTTTCGTGATTATACGTCCCGAAATTTTCCAAAATATTTTAAAGAATCGAAAATAGAACTAAATAAATAGTTCTCAATTATTTTGTTAGTATTGCAAATTTAAAGAACTGAAGAATTTATTTGATATTATGAGAAATAGTTTAGAAAATGTATATTATATTTTTTTTAACATTTTTATATCAATTTCTTTTTACTAATATTTTATTAATTTCAAATTTTTTTTTGACAATATTTTTTTATATTATCTCTTCTTGATCTTAAATAAGATAATTATATAATTTTCTAATTTACGAATATCTATATTATAATTTTTATATTTTATACAAATATTATTATATTATAAATTTTCCTTTTAAAGCTTAAATAAATATCAATCAGAAATTTTGCTTTTTAATGAGCACAGATGACCTAAGTTTATCCATGTATGTATGTATGCGTGACAAACAAGGTTAATAATATTTTAAAAATTAAATTACTAATTATAATTACAAATAATATGATAATTATTAACTGTAATTAAAATATCTTGATATTTCGAAATTTACATGTTAATAAATCTGCAATTACAAATCCACGTTACGCACCTCGATATAAAAGAAATTGCGTTGTAAAAAAAATTATCATTTACGATGTCGAATTGAGATTAATAAACGATTGATGTTTCAAAATTTATATATTTAATAAATCTGTAGCTATAAACACACGTCATACACCTCGATATAAAAGAGATTGCGTTGTAAAAATGGTTATCATTTACGACATCGAATTGAGATTAATAATAAACGATTGATAAGAATCAACTTGCATTGAGACCGGTTAATACAATAGTTTCAATGAAAAAAATAAGAGTTTATATAAATAATATCTGAATGACATTTAACATTCATGAAGCATTTCGCAAAATAACAATGTAGAAAGGTCTCAGCATATATTATCACTGACTAACATAAAGACAAAAGCATAAAGTGATAATAGATATATTTTTTATAATTTTCTAATACAGGGTGTCCCATGGGAATGTGTTGAAACTAATTAGCTGTCATTTTCGAAGGTATTCAGTTATTGAAAGAACAAAAATTGCGCTGAAAAGAGGAAAGTCTGCAATTTTTAATGAGTATAAATAAAGTTTAACAAAATGTTTGTGTATCAATTAATTTTATTGATGAAAAATTATGCTAAAATCAAGTAGGCGCTAAAATTATATGTAAAATCGCAGATAAGATCGAAAAACAGCTTCAGATTTAGTAGCAGCTATTTAAAAAGTTATTAGCAATATTAAAAACGATATGTTAGAAAAAGTTTTTACGAGCTTTCATAAAATATGTAAATGTTTTTACAAGTTTTCGTAAAAAAATTGTGTTTTATACAAATTCAGATGGTGCACCCTCCGAAAAAATTACTCCTTGGGATTATGAGCATATTTTTCATCAATAAAATTAATTGATACACAAATATTTTGTTAAATTTTATTTATACTCATTAAAAATTATCAGCGCAATTTTTGTTTTTTTAATAACTGAATACCTTCGAAAATGATAGCTGATTAGTTTCAACACATTCCCATGGGACACCCTGTATATTATATTTCTTTCTTCGATTTTTTAAAAGAAAGAAAAATAGAAGGGCTACACTGTCGTGTCTACTTTATTGAATATTACATTTCTTAAATAAGCATTTCTCGAGAAATGATAATTCTCAGATAAAAGCATGTTTATGGCTCATAAGCTTTGATAATATCAAATTTAATGAATATTTTATATTATATCTTAATATCTTCATAATCTCCAAATATCTATTTTTTAAATTTTATATGATTTACAAATATGTGTATTATAATTTTTTTTACAATTTATTTTATTTTATTTTAACGTATCTTATAAAATTTTACTTTAGTCTCAATTAAACTCTAGGATGCGCAAAAAATGTTTATATAATATCGATATCTGGCGTCACAATGAAGAAAGCTCGATATTCTAGATTTTATTCTTTCGAAATATAAGCGTATAAATTTTTTTTAGAGGGAGAGAGTTTTATCAATTCTGTTATCACACAAACAGCAATTTTTGTAACGAGTACAAACGCACATGTTGTTTTACAATTACAATTTTTTGCGTTCATAGCGGAAATTTATAGGTAACATAAAATCTCAGTCGGAAATTGCATATGATAGCCACTTAATAATGTTTTACAACTTTTACAAGAATCATTTGAATAAATGAACGTAAAATGACGTTGCGCTTGACATGAGAATCGACTATCTGCGTCAACATATCGGGTTTACGGCGCACTAGGCAAACGACCAACCCTTTCAGGTGACGGGATATGGTTCATTCGTACATTATATCCGATGATATGACACGACGATAATCAATTGCTCGAGGTATTCCCTCAATTTAATTGAATATATCAATACACTCTTTTAACACGCGCATAAAAATGTTATATAATATCGATATCTGGCGTCAGAATAAAAACGCTCAACGTTTTGTGTTTCATTAGTTCTTCAAATTATGAACGTATTCAGAATTTTTTTGGGGGGACAACAGTTTTATCAGTTCTGTTATATCACTTAAATAACAATTTTTTATATTAATAAATTGCTTTTTTGAATATTTTAGGACGTTTCCTTCTTGTTTTTTTAACAGAAAGAATATTAAATTTTATAAATCATAACTTTTATTTTTCTTCCTAAAGAAAGTATAGGTAAAATACAATTATTAAAAATATAAAATATGTAATTCCTTATAATATTGTTATTGTTATTTCTTAAGTAAAATTATTATTATTGTTTTTTTCTGTAAGTAAAATCTTGGCCGAGGATGTTGCCTTTATTTAGTCGAATGGAGTATTCATTAATATACTCAGTGTATATTTTGTTTTTAGCTAAAAAATTTTAATAGATTTATTTTTGTGTATCGGACACTTTATCAAAACTATAATTCCATAAATTACATGATTGTAACGAGAAGAAAAAATATTTTATGTAATAACAAAAAATCTATTCAGAGTCAAAAGTAAAAAAAGTTATATTTTTTATAAATAAAAATGAAAAAGTGAATAAAAAATTTTGGGGTTTCGATTGAATTTCCAAATCCCCCTGATACGCCCATGTTTCAAACTATTTTTCCTTTATTGTAATTTTCCAAAATACATGCACTTATTTTACATATGTTAATGAAATAATCTTTATCGTTTTTTAATACGCGTCTCATCTTGTTAATTTCCATATCGCAACATGTTTGAAAAAGTGTACAACAGTGAGGCAAAACAAGTAATTATATATTCACGTAATATTTAAATTTTAAATTAATGTTTAAACTAATATACTATGTGCGTTGCATATTGGGAATTACCTTTACATCTTTCACTCTGTTTCCTAAAGCGATGTATATAATGAAAGCCCTCTAGGCGTTTAGTTTATTCAATCTCAAGTTGCAAATTAATTGATATTGCAAATTAACATTTAACAGTCAGTGCAAATGACATGTGTATAAATTCGAAAATGAATTTATCTCTTGAGAGGAAAATTTTAATTTTCAATGTGCTTTTTTTGTTATCACAAAATAATCAATTTAAATCATATCAGGATCTTTGCGACAAAATGGGTGGTGCACTAAATATCAGCTCGGAAATCTACGGCAAAATGTTGAAGACGAACCAAATATTTAGCGCGAATTCTAAGACTTCTACTTCAGCATTTACTTCAGTTTCTAAGACTTCTAAGAGAAGCGGCGTAACTATTAAAAAAATCCTGCCGTACCTAATACATCGGAAGAAGGATAAGGTAAAGGAAATGGAAACTCAATTTTCGGACTCTCAATCTCCGGCTCCGAGTCCACCGAGGAGTCGCCCATTCCTGAACGAGCAAACTCTGTCCATAAGCAACAATGTAAATATCTTGTAATATAATCTTTGCTCTCGATAACAATATTTATATTTTTACAACTTCCTACGTAAAGGAAGTTTCGGCAGGGATAATAAAATATCCTTCTTTAAAGGCAACTTAAAAAAGAAAATACTTTTTTATGTTGATCGATGTATTTAAGATTCGTGGTATAAAATGTAAAGTAATATCGAGTAAAAACTATGCAGGATCCAGAAAGCTTCCACTGTGTAATGGGACCGGTTTTAGTGATGGCTCAATTATTTGGAATTCTACCGGTTTCTGGAATACTCATGCCGAGTCCGTTGCAGATAGAATTCGTGAAATTTTCGGTTCGTACCATCTACTCCGTTTTCATAAATGGGATGGTGTTATTTATGGCAATATTGTCGATTATTCACATGATAAAAACGCTAAACTCCACAACTTTTGAAGTGCAAGGTAAACAAATAAGTATGTATCGCACTATGTCGCATCTATTCCAAGAATAATATATAGTTTTATTATATGTATAGTGAAGCAAAGATAACGATATGCAGGAAGTTCAACTCCTTTAAAGTTAGTCTCAGATATTCTTTAAATATACAGATGAAAATTAAAATACTTAAAAAATTATGTGTCACTCTTTTGCATTTTATCTCAGAGAGTAAATATGTTTTAAATAAACTTTGCAACCTGGAAGTAAATGTAAATGGAGGATCATTTATTTTTATATATTACGCAAAGAAAAAATATCCTTAAATATTAAGAATATTTTTGCTGTACAATATCAAACAATCGGTCAAACATATCGGTTAAAAAAAATTTGTCGTAAATACGCTCTAAAACAAATGCAAAAAATAAAACAATAAATTATGACTTTTTATGGCTTTTATGCAGGGCAATTACTATATTTTGCTGCAGTTTTAGATAAATAGCTTTTAAGCGAGTATAATGGATCCGAATGAACTTTTGCACAAACATATTTATTACAGTTTTATTAGTACATATAAAAAAATTTGATCTGGTTCATATGCTATTTTCTCATCAAATTTATAAATAAGTATTACAATTTGATAGAAGAATTAAGGCAAACAAAAAAATTAAATAACTTTTAAAACAATAAGAGAATAATTGTTTGTGTGTTTGTGCTTAAATTTTACACAGATACTCAGACGTAATAACAGAACAATCTATAAAATTTTTATATTTCTGGTATTGCTTTGTACTGTGACACATACATTCTTAATCGCACGTTTTCCGAATCATTTTTCGAAACTGTCAAATATATTTTTAAATGTACGATTGGATTTTAGGAGGCATAGCAACTGCTACGGCAGGCGCGATATTTTATGCGAACTGCGTGATGGGCCTGATAATATTTTTCTGGCTATCGTCGCGATGGGTGATTCTTCAACGTGATTGGAGAGCCATGGAGCTGTTCATAGATAGGTAGATATCAGTGCGTTTAAGAAAGGCTGCAGGATAGTATCATTAATCGATCGATGATCGCGACCCACGTGTTTCACTGCACGCGGGGTTACATAGAATCGCATGTACTCTTGACAACTCTCGAGAGATTGCGATCGCACACGTGCTTTCACACGATGACAGTAGGTGTTACAAAAATAATAGCAAGCGTCATATTCAATTCCGTTAGATGCTGTAATGATAACTCATATTGAACTTAATTTGCGGATCGGAAAATAATTCCAATATTACTATAACTGCATGTGTTCTCTTTCTCTCCCCCCCCTCTCTCTCTTACAATATATAAAAAATTAAAAATATACATTACGTATTCTCCAAAACTTTTAGAGTGAATTCAGTCATTTTGAAGAGTGAAATCTCACTTTTAAAGATTGAAAATTAAGCCATTCTTTTTCAAAACTGGCTCAATTGTCAAATGAGAAATTCTACTCTAAAGAATATAGAGAGAATATATATATATATATTTAACTATATAGTTTGATGTAACCAACTTTGAAATCATCTAATACTCCTAGATACGCAAATATGATAAAGTAATTGCGTGTTTATAGCACCTATTATTAAAAGATATCATTGCTTGTAATCTGTCTCGAACGGCGTAAATGTTTAAAGACTTTGCCGGAGCTACCATCTTTTTAAATCAATTATTTCTTCTTGGAAATTCCAGTGAGCAATGTTTCTCTTTAAAGTCGATTAATTTTGCATTGCCTTACAAGTTCTGTTAATATATACATTTATCAGAACCTTTTGCTTTTGCAGTAACAAAATGAAACGACCAAAGCTCCGTTGGAAACTCCACTTAATAGCTGTTTCCATTCTGTTTGTGGCTCTTATTGAACATATCTTGAGTATATTGGTGCATACCAAAAAATATGACTGGAGCGGCAAATCGGACAATGCGACGTTTCTCAATTTTTTAGAAATTTATTGTATGTCTTCTCACGCCTTTATATTGGAGATACGTAAGTAGTAATCTCTTAACTATATAATTAATCTAAAAGTATCGCTCGCAGATAAATTGAATGTTTGAATAAAATTTCATAATAGTCTAATTGAATAAATTAATTGATCCTCGTATAAAAAATATTAAAGTGTTTTATTAATTATTATAATAAAGTAGCTATAATTGTTTTATTATAATATAAAATAGCTATAATTGGCAATAATTATAACTCTTTTATACACATAGATTTGCAATTTTTCCGTTTCTTCAATTATTTTCTTCAGCATTATTAATAGCAATCCAGTTTATTTGGCTATACCTGTAAAATAATTAAACTTACAACCTTTTCTCCAAAGAGACTTGTTTATTTGATCGCTGTGTTTCTTTTTTCCCAGATTTATTGAAAAACTTTGGTTGTTTCAGAACTTTAAAACTTTTATTTTCAGTGAAATATAACTTGGCGCTTGGTATTTTCATTTTTATCGTCAGCAAACTGGCGACTTTTACGTGGAATTTTACTGATGTTTTCATCGCAATGGTAATAAAACTTTGTAAATAGTTCAACAATACCTCTTTTTCTATTCGGAATCAAACGTTTCCAATCTTATTATAACTATAATTCGATCTTGTGGAGTTTTCAGGTAGCTACCGGTTTGGCTGAAAGATACAAAACATTGAATAAGTACGTGACTAGTTCTGTATTGAAACATCGACCGATAGACTGGTCTGAATTGCGCGAAGATTATGCTACTCTTAGTTTCATGGTGAAAAAAGTGGACAACGATATCTCACCTATAATTCTCTTATCATTTGCAAACAATCTTTACTTCATCTGTTTACAGCTATTGAACGGATTGTCGTAAGTAGTACGTGATTATTAAAGAAAACAATTACACAAAGTTATTATATTAATTTTTAATTTATTTTAGTTATTAATAATTTATAGAAATATGAATAAGTCCCGTAAAATTAATACGACATGTTAATATCAATTGATCGGTAAATGCCAATTCATAAAGTTATTATTATATTATTTCTGATTTCGATTCTCTTTAATTGGATTTTTACAGAAAATCAGACGATGGCATAATCAGCGATATATACTTCTTCGAGTCCTTTCTATTTCTGATCGGCAGAACGGTGATCGTCACCCTGCTCACTGCTAGGATTTACGATCAAAGCAAAGTAATATTGCCGATTTTGTTTAGTTGTTCAGCATCTACTTATAACAAAGAGGTAAACCATTCGAATTTCGTTGACGTAAAAAAAAGTAAATGAAACAATAATCTTTTGAAATTATCAATGTATTGCGCAAATTATTTAATTAATTTGCTCAATTTTTTATATATATAATAATTTATACGGTCGTTTTACAGACAGAAAGGCTGCTACATCTACTCAGCACCAATGACGTCACGCTCACTGGAATGCGTTTCTTTTCTATTACGCGGAATTTTCTGTTGGCGGTAAAAATAAATCAAGATTTAATATAAAATTCGTTAGCATTTCATATACAATACGACAGTTTTCTTTAAGAAAGAAAGTCATTTTTTACGATAGTGATATATTACTTCAATTATACAGAGTATAAATAAAGTACCTTTTATTATACTTAATTTAGCTATTGCAGTACTGCATAAAAAGGAGAAAAGTTTAATATTTTTTAATGTTTTTAATATTGTTGCGTTTTGTTGATTTCCAATATCTTTATTTATGAACATCATTTATTTTTATAAATTTATGTACAGGTGGCTGGTGCAATTGTAACGTACGAAGTTGTGCTGCTGCAATTTAATGTCGCAATGAACAAATAAGTACGCAACAGTATAACATCGACGAAAGACAAATATTATAATTTAGATTATATAAGATATAATATAAGTAAAATAAATTAAAATTCAAACCTCATCCTATACATTTCCATCTCGACGCAATTTTTACAATTATATGCTATTTTCACAATTATATTATTTTACAAAAATGTGTATTTTATAAGAACAATTATGCAAGAAATATTTATTATAACAGAAATTCGTCGCAAGAATTGTTGCTTTGGTTATATATTATTTCGAATATATTTCCTAATACATATTCGCAACATAATGTCGAAACATTTTCTATAATACAATTTTCTATAAATTTTCATAATTATATAAATGTATTGTACAATCATTTTTACATTTACACTCAGGTAAGTTAAGAATTCGATGTGTTTTTTAATTTTAACAAAATCTTTCAAAATCTAATACATTATTCCTACATATAAATATAATTTTTTTTAATAACGTATACTTTGTACAAGATTCTTAAGTACTACATTTAAATAATATTTTTTAGTTCATCGTTCACAGCAACGTTTACAAAATTATTGCCGCATTATCAACAGATAAAAATATATTTGTATGTGTTTTTAATCCATTCCTGCGAATAACGATGTGTTCTCCACAGCTAAATCTATAAGTGTGTGTGTGCGTGCTGTATATATATCGTCTTGTAACAATATTAAATTCAACACTGGTGAAATATCCTTTCCGTTTTTCTCTAGAATATATATCAAGTTAATTGAAATCCAAAGGAAAACTAGAACAAAAAATAAATCAAGAAATAAAATCATATAAAGAGAGATTACAGATAAAGTAAAAGTAGTATATTATATTTAAAAAAAAACTTTATTTTCATAGTGCAATTCATATACTTATCTTACATAAAATTGCAGAAAAATTACCATAAGTAATGTGAAAATATAGAGGACTCCAGCAGTTTTATTGTACCTATATAAAATATACAATATATAATATAAAAGCTAATAATATGAAAGAGAAAGATCTTATTATATAAAAATTTAAGGAAATTGGTTACAAAAGAAGGGAACAATAAAAAAAAATATCATAAAATGCAACAATTTATGTAATGCAGTTTTAAATTTATTTAATGATAGCATTTATTATAATAAAATTTTGCGTTTTGTAGTCAATATAGTGATATAGATTTCCTTTTCAAAAACCCTCTCTACCTCACCTCGCAAGCATTCGTTATATTCATCTGGTCCATTTGCTGGACGGAGTTGAACTGTACTAGAACGAGTTCATAAGTCACGATAGTTCCTGCAACCTACATTATCATTCATATAGTTGTACAAGGTATATTAATCGCAACTATCATTTAAAATTAATCTAAATCTCGTCTTAATAATAAGAAATAGTATTCGTTGTTTAGTTAAATTAAATTAAATATCATTATATAGCAAATAAATATATTTTCAAAATATTTTTTTTTAAAGATGTAATAGAAACAAAATATGAATAATATGCAAATAGTTAACCGTACTTTACAGCGCGATAAGTTCGCTTTTAGTCAAATAATTAAGCTACATTTAACTCGTTTAAATTATCATTTACTTACGGTTAATACAAGGCCTCTCGTTATGGAAAAAAACTTCATTCCCGTCAAACTAATATTATCCGTCGTTACTTGCGTCAAAAATCTTGAGACCTGCGCAACGTTAAACGTTACGTGCAAATTTACATACAAATTTTTGTACAAACTTATATATAAGTAAAAGCACGATCGAGAAAATTAATATAATAATCTTATAAATAAATAACATTATTTTATTTTTCTTATAACTGATATCGTATAATCTTTTAGATCCCCACAAGTTTTTTTATTATGAGAGGGGAAACTTAATTTTCTTTAATAAAAAATTTCTAATTTATTATTAACACATGAAGAAGATACATGTTGACAGATATTAAATTTTTACTTCAAACTTTTTCTCTTGGATTATCGCGTGTCAGTTACGAAGATTAATACTATATACTATATATTATATACTATATGTATAATAATATTTCTCTCAAAACAAACCTCGTTGTTGTAACCAGAACTAGTGACGCTGTACAAAATCGGTGCTGGCAGACGGGATTCATCATGAATAGAAGCCGCGTGCAAGGATACCGTCGTTGTTCTAGCCAAGAGAAAGCCGAAGGAATAGCAAAAGTAGATTTTCCGTACGCTACCACGTATTGGACTGTTTGAAAAATTCATGCTTTATAGGATCTACTGTTTGAAAAATTCATTCAACTTTATGGGTTCTACTCCCTAAAAACTCTCATAACATAATTTTTAATATAAAATTTCATAAAACTGTCTTGCATTTGGACAAAGCTAATATTAGCACAATAAAAATTAGTAACGTGAATTAATTGTAAATATAAATCTAATTATTATATATATAGATAAAAGTATAAATGAATTTTTTTTATATTGGATCTAAGAAACTCGATGTATAATATATTTAAGGATAAAATTGTTATTGTAAATTATATGTTAGACAGAAAATGTACTTGAAGGAAAACAGCAATTGCATACAGATGAAGTACAAGTCTATAGCAAAGGACATAAGCACGATGCCCGAGATATGAGTATCCAGTCTGCGCGTAAGAGTCGCCAACTGATTATAGTCACTTCTGGCTTCGGCCCACCACCACTCCGGCATCGCCTTAACGAGATAATAGCGACGAGTTGTTAGTAGAAGCAAAGATTTTCATGTTGTAATCAATGATTTTGTTTCTCGATTAATATAACACATTGAGCTACTCTGCTTGAGTGTTCCTGTGTATCATTTTACTCTTGTTGTTCGCCGAACATTACACAAGAAAAATGATACATACAGGACTACTCGGGTGGTTTTTTTCTGAGCATGCCCCTTCTCTCTAAAACTTTTAGAGTGAATTATCACTCCGAAGAGTGAAATCTTTTTTTCTCTTAAAGATTGAAAATTGAACCACTCTCTTCAAGACTACTGATTCAACTTTCACTCTTTAAAGTGAGATTCTACTCCAAAGAATTTAGAGGTTTACATTAACAATTAAAATATAGTTTCAATAAATCCTCAAAAAAATTTAATAAGTAAGTATTATTAAGTAAGTATTTAATTTAATTGTTAATAATAGTATATTTAATACTCAAAATAAATAATTAATCATTAATTTCACCAATTTAAAATACTTAGAGTACTTATTAAACTTCTTTAAAGAAAAAAATACCTGCGTGTGAATATTAGGAAGATGAATAAAGTTATTCATAGACGAAGACAAATATCTTATAACAGATTGCACTATACCTTTCCCCGTATCAAAAAGAGGCGGCTGTTTAGCTGCTTGAATTGATCCGTCAAAGCCATGCTGATAAGAATAAGAAACAGATCGACAAAATTCCACGAGAATGTGCTGAGGATATTTATAGTTTCAATCACGATCCCCTTCCAGAGACTGTAGGACAGTTTTGTAAAGATCTGTAAAAAAAATGCTGATCAATCAATGATATTATACATTAATTCAACAATAATTAAAAGCACATGCATCATCTTTCATCCAGCTTTTATTTTCATTTAAAGAGAAAAAGAGAGAAACGTGTTTTTTAACGTTTAAAAATAAATTTGATTCTAAAATTGCGATAAAATTATGAATTAAGCATATCTAGTATATTACCTGCGGGAATTGCGATATGAAATAAACACCAGCAACATCCGCGTCACCGCGTTGCGTTGCGCATTCTAATGCACTGGTATACCCAGCCAACACAGCGGCAGAGTGTTCTCCTATATAAAAATATATTAACATTAATTTGGTTAATCAAATATTAGGTTATTTATGATGATTAATAGGATAATGTTTACTTAATTTATTCATGATAACTAAATAAATCACGATTTTTTAAGTCACTTTTGAAATAAAGGATAATATACATTAACATACAACTTTGACATTCAAGTAGAAGTAGTTAAAATAATTAGGTAAAAATGAACGTAATTTATATGAGACAAATTAAGTTTATTAATATAATTTCATCTATACCAAAGAAGTCAACTCAATTAAAATTCCGTAGAATTGGAAATAAACGAAATAAAATGCGTAAGTGCCTACGTAATACTATCTTGATCAGCACTTACCGAACGCTAGCACCATGACGACAAAGGTTACGATTTTGAAACGAGTTGCGAGAGAGGTCTTCGAAATCCGCCGATACCTCGAGGTGAATTCACGTTCCAGTTTTTCCCAAGTTAACATTAAACAAGGCCAGTGCATTGCCAATCGTATAAACATGACTGCGGTTATCAGAGTCGTGAGAAAGAAAACGAAAGTCGCTGATAATTAAGATAAATATCGTTTAGAAACAACGGATTGTTGTGTTCCTACATTCAATGTTACTTGTATCCATAATGAGGCTAGCTTACTCATTTTCGTAGAATTTATCCCCGAGGTGACTAAACGCTGAATATTGGTGATTGTCAGGACAAACGTTCCCACAATAATGCTAACCGCGTAAAAGATTTTCGGATTGTACCATGAAAATCTACAGGACATTCATGAAGACTCGTGACAATTTCGATTAGAGAAAATGTTAAAAAATCGAAGGAACGAGTAATAAACAATTCGTGTTCATTTCAACCAATGTAGATTACTTTAATCTCGGTTTAACTTTTTACCTTTTTCTAATTCCAAAAATTAGAAGAAGATAAAGAATAAATTAAACTGAAATTAAAGCTAATTTACATTGGTTGAAATGGACATCAGGTTTATTTCTACCAATGTAATGTTACAATAATTAATTTTAATCTCGGTTTAATTTACTCTTTATCTTTATAAATAAAAAATCAAGATTAAAGCTAATCGATATTGATAGAAATGCATATCTGGCTCATTTCTATTAATGTAGATTAACTTTAATTTTGACTTACTCTCTATTTTTTACTAATTCTTAGCATTAGAAGAGGATAAAAAGTAAGTTAAACAAAAATTAAAGTTAATCT